GTTTGGGTCATGGGGGTGGGTTCCTCATGAATAGATCAATACTGTCTCCCAGGAGTGAATTCTCACTCTCAAGGGAATGGATTAGTCCCCAGGAGAGTGGGTTGTTATAAAGTGAGGTTCTTCCTCCTCTTTGGTCCTTCTTTACCTGCACCTGCTTCTCCTTCCACTTCTCTGCCATGTTGTGATGCAGCACAAAAGCCCTCACCAGCAACTAATGCCAGTGCCCAGTGCTTGGACTTATCAGTCATCAGAATTGTGAGCCAAATAAACCTCTTTTCTTTATAAATTGCCTAGCCTCAGTATTCTGTTATAGCAACACAAAATGGACTAAATCAATTAGGGATCGCCATTTCCACATGAAAATGAGGAAACTGAGGTGGTATATCACCCTTGGCCACACAGCTAGTGAGTGTCTGGCCTCAGGCTTCTATTCCAGGTCTGCCAACTCCAGATGCGGTGAGAGATAATGCAAAATCAGAGTCATTCCTAGTGCAGTCTGTGCTTAACAAACGTTCATTCTCTTTCCTCCCAGGTGCATCCTGTAGCTTTGATAGATCTCTAATTTCTTAATAAATTTTTATATGTAACATCCTATACAGCAGGAGGTCTGTCATACTGCCCTCATGTGGCTCATTTGGGTAATAGTTTTTTTTGTTTGTTAAGTTTAATGCAAAGTATGTGTTATTTAAAATGTGTCTCTAAAGTCACCTAAATATGTGGAAACTTTGGGAGTTTGTATGATTCTATAACCTCAGTATGTAAGAAATGGTACTTTTTCTTTTCTACTGTCCACTTTAATGTGTAACTCTGAGCCCTCACCTGGCTGGGAAGATACTTAACTTCAGTTACTCTAGTAACTTCTACCCTGTCTTTGCCAAGATCCCCTATTCCCTCTGTTGTCTTGGAGGAGAAAGCTTCTCTTCCTTGGTATTGTACATAATGAAGCTTGATTTCACTATCATGTCAAGAAGGGAAGAATTTTTTTCACAATTATTTTTTCCATCCAATGCTCTGTTTGCAGAGACATTTATCGGCCACTAGAGAAACACTCAGCTCTCACACTTAAGAAAGAGATGTCATTGCCAGGGAGTGGAATGTTAATTCATTTTCCAGTTTAAATTGTAGAATTTTTTTTTCCAAGAGGAAAAGAAAAAGGTCGGTTTTTGTCCCCACTTATAAGGAGCGTTAAGTCACGAAGTAAAATTCACTTAGTTTTCTCTTCACGTATGGGGAGGGTCCCAGCTTCCATGGACTCATTTTCCCATGCTATACAAAGTTACAGAGGTGTCTTTAAAGTTTAGTGGATTATTTAGCATAGGGATCTCTCCAAAGTGCATATCATCAAGGGTCTGCTTTGTTTTCCAGTGGCCCTCTCGATGGAGGATTTAAAGGTAGATATGTGTCACACTGGGCCTTAGTTATGTCTGAGTAGTGAAAGGCAGTGTCAATGGGAAAAGGGAATTTAGGGTGGGAAAAGGCCAGGAATTTTCTTTTTTTTATTATTATTTAAGCATCATTTAATAACAATGTACATACAGTCTCTCTTCTTAAATGTATTTAAGAGTTAACATCATCCTCATGCCAAGACCTAACTGTGTTTCAGATAACGGAGGGCAGACTTTGGCAGGGGGTAATAACTGGCCCCTTCGAGGAAGAAAATGGAGCCTGTGGGAAGGAGGCGTCCGAGGGGTGGGCTTTGTGGCAAGCCCCTTGCTAAAGCAGAAGGGCGTGAAGAACCGGGAGCTCATCCACATCTCTGACTGGCTGCCAACACTCGTGAAGCTGGCCGGAGGACACACCAATGGCACCAAGCCTCTGGATGGCTTCGACGTGTGGAAAACCATCAGGTACCTACATCCTGCCCTTTTTCCTCCCAGGACAGAAACTCCAAGAGCAACCTGACTCCAATGAGCAAGAATGATAGCTTTTGTGTTAAAGTGATAGTTCAGCTTACAAATACATGATTTTTAAGAAAAATAAATGCCTTTAGAGATATTGTAAGGATATATATTTGTAAATTATAAATTTGAGATTATGGGCCCGTGTTTTACGTGAAGAACAAGATTGTCCTCAGCCCATCCCCCTCCATGGAAGGTCTTTGAAGCTGTGAAGTTTTGCTTAGAAGTAGTCTAGCGTATTGTTAGCTTCCTGCAGGGGGTCAGGGGACTTGTCCTGTTGCCTGCTGGAAGAATGGAGGGCAAAACAGTGGGGGAAAAGCTGGGATAGGAACTAGGGATATGTTTAGTCCCATGTATTAACAAGTATCTAACAAGTACCTACTATGTGCCATACCTTGTTCTAGATACTGAGAAATTAGGAATGAACAAGTCAGTCAAGATCCTGCCTCTCAGAAAGCTGTATTCTAGTCAGGGAAAAAGGTGTTGGACAAGTGAACACACAGATGGGCAAGATGACTGCCAGTGGTGATAAGTGCCAGGAAGGCAAAAAAAAGTAGTATGTTGTGATAGATAGAGCGGGCTGATGTGAAGGAGATACATCAAGGAGCAGAACCCAGACTCAGATTTGGAAATCATGGTGGTCTTTTTCCTGTTTAACCCCCACAGTGTAGAGCAATGGCCCCCAAGGTTGGGAGGCATATGCCTTAGAGAATGCAAGATGTTCCCTTGGCGTATAGGAAGAAAATGTCAATATTTTATTTTATTAATATCTAATTTCATCTCATCCTTTTTAAAGTATATGTTTTATAAGATACATAATATGTTAGTAGACTTGTACATAAATCTAATTTATAAATAAATATGCATATATTGGAGGTATTATTTTTATGGGTGAAATGACACCTGTCTAGTGCAATGGTTTTCAACCTCTGTTTGGTGTTACAGCTCTGTTTGGGGGTAGCACCTGACTGACTGTCCCTTAGTGGCCAGGGGGAGAGGACTTCCTCATGCCATCTCTTCATCCCACTCGAGGTGTCCCAGCTCAAGAATAGTAGGTTTCAGGTTTCTAGTTAGAGGAAATACACAATGGAGTATTTAGGAGTAAAAAGCCATGATGTATTTAACATATCCTCAAATGGTTCAGAAAAAAATTGTGTGTGTGTGTGTGTGTGTGTGTGTGTATGTACATGTGTACAGAGAGAATTCAAATGGACTGCAAAATTAAATAAAAGAATGTAGGTAAGGTGCATGGATATTCTTTTGTTATGTCTTATTTTTGCAACTTTTTGTAAATTTGAAATTATTTCGGAATAAAAGTATTTTAAAAATAGGAAGGTCTGACAGTACTGCACCCACATTTCCAGAAGGCCAACAACTGACTACAATCAAATAGCTGCTGCTTTCTGTAGATGAAGTATCCACCCTTCAAATCTTCAATCTCTATTGCTCCCGAGTTCCAATACAGGTCCACTACACTCATTTATGTTACCTACCTAGTCTCTGTAGGCATTTAAGTTTATGGTCCGTGCTGAACACAATCATAGTATTCACCATTCTGGAAATACCATGCTTTAACCAATCTCCAGTTGCAAAATATATAGATTATTTCTTATCTTTTTATATTATCGATTTTTCTGGAATTAATAATTAATGTTAAAAAATAGTAGGGTTGGCTGGGCTCGGTGGCTCAAGCCTATAATCCCAGCACTTTGGGAGGCCGAGACGGGCGGATCACGAGGTCAGGAGATGGAGACCATCCCGGCTAACACGGTGAAACCCCGTCTCTACCAAAAAATACAAAAACACTAGCCGGGCGAGGTGGCGGGCGCCTGTAGTCCCAGCTACTCGGGAGGCTGAGGCAGGAGAATGGCGTAAACCCGGGAGGCGGAGCTTGCAGTGAGCTGAGATCCGGCCACTGCACTCCAGCCTGGGAGACAGAGCGAGAGTCTGTCTCAAAAAAAAAAAAAAAATAGTAGGGTTGAGCAGCCTAAGATTAGTTTTTACAAAGGAAGTTTGATAGCTATTCAAGTTTAAACTTTGAAGTCCTGTGAGTTCAGGAATGGATAGAAGAAGTGTTCAGCCAGGCCGCTCAACCTCACACAACGTGGAGTCTATCGGTTCTTTTCTAATGGGCCTCACCCAGAAGATTGAGACTAGGAAAGGTCCTCATCTCTTACAAACCCAAGGGAAAATCTGATTTCATTAGCTCTGTTACCTTCTTTCAACTATTTTGCAACTCAAAGTTCCATGTTTTCCTTGGAGAATTTATTAATTTTTAAAGATCACTTTTCAAGCAGCAACATTTATAGTATTGGGTAGCCATTTCTTCACCATTTCTAAACATTATTTTGGTTCTTATGAGTCATATTATTTTCATATTATTTTAAAATCCTCACTAGCCTCAAATTGTTTCCTCATATTCTTGCCTGAAAAGTTAGTTTGTCAGTTTGGAGACAATGATCTGTTTATGACGTGTCCTTTCGAGAACTCTCTACAGCTTCCAAGTCACAGAAACATTAATGCCACTGAACAGCTCAGCTGAGAAACAAAGCAATAAAGCCTTTTCTCTCACCAGAAATTTTGAAACTTTGTGCTCATTATTTGCTCATTCATATGAGATGACTTTTTTCTTTTTCTTTAAAACATTTCTGCCTCTATCCATGATCTAAACTTTATATGTTAAATTTAAATTTATTTTCCCCAAGTGTGAGTACTATATGTAATTGTAGATAATTTGCAAACTACAAAAAATAAAAATAATTGTCCAGGCACGGTGGCTTATGCCTGTAATCCCAGCACTTTGGGAGGCTGAGGTGGGTGGACCACCTGAGGTCTGGAGTTGAAGACTAGCCTGGCCAACATGGTGAAACCCCATCTCTACTGAAAATATAAAAACTAGCCGGGTGTGGTGGTGGGCACCTGTAATCCCAGTTACTCAGGAGGCTGAGGCAGGAGAATTGCTTGAACCCAGGAGACGGAGGTTGCAGTGAGCCGACACAGTGCCACTGCACTCCAGCCTTAGCAACAGAGTGAGACTCTGTCTCAAAAAATAATAATGATGATAATAATCACTCAAATCTTACTAGAAACAACTACTATAAACATTTTGTCATATTTCCTTATAATTTTTCTTTTCAGCATTTTTTTACTACATCTTTTTTCCTTATTTAACAGACCATTGGTTTTTGATTGTGTCATCCAAGAAACTCACTGCAAACACTATTTGTCACTGTCACTGCACATTCGATTGCATGGATATACCTTGATATACTTAACCTTCCCTTGACTTTCTTTTTTAGTTTTTTAAAACAATAGCTCTGAAATGAACTCTTTCTACATAAACTCTTTGTCTACATTTTGGATTTTTTTCCCTTAGATATAAATGATTTGAAATTAAATCACTGAGCTAAAGAAAGTGACCAGTGTTGGGGCTTGAAAAACAATACCCCAAACTGGAGGCCCCAGAAGCAGCCTCTACAACAAAAGTTTTTCTCTGAATTCCTCCTGCTCTCTTGTCTCTCAGTCTCATTTTTTCCTGAGGCAAGCCATAGAAACTAGAATCCTTCTTCCCCAAGACAGGTCATAGAAACCAGGACCCCTTCTCCCCAGGGCTAATCGTAAAACCTAGAAATATTATTCTAATTTTCCCTCTGCCCTATTTGTGTGAAAAGTGGCCATGAAAAAGTTATCTGGCCTACCTTGTTTAACTGTAGGTCACAACACTCCCATTCCAGAGCGGGTCCTACCCCACACCCAGAAGGAAGGAATGCATGCCCAGAGAGGCCAAGAAGAATCTAGACAGACAGACCTTGCTGGGTTTCGCCACTCAGGCTATTAGCATTAGAGCATACCCTTTTGTCCAATTATATTTCTACACGGCTGTCCATACTTTGTTAAACCTATACATAAAAATGAACGATTTCCTCTATATCTTTGGGTCTTCCTTCTAAAGACTCCCATGTATACACATTAAATAAATTTGCATGCCTTTTCTCCTGTTAATCCACCTTTTGCGAGTTGATTTTTCAGTGAACTTTCAGAGGGCCAAGGATGGCCCCTACATTATTTTAAAAGCATTTGATAAACATTACAAAACTGCTTTCTAAAAAGGTTGTGCCAATGTTCTCTTGTACAAGTGTAGAAAGTGCTCATCTTCCTCATAGCTTTTCCTTATCAAGCTTTTTAAAAAATCTTTGCTAATATTATAGACAAAATGGTCTTGTATTAACTTGATTTATTATTATTATGGAGATTAATGTTTAACTTTTTATATTCCATTTGTATTTTCTCTTTTGAAAGTATTCCTTCCATGTGCTTTTACACTTATTTTACTGAAAAGTGGGTGTTTTCTTATGGATTTGTTTGCTCCTTTATGTCAGGCTTTTTGACTGTTGCATTTCTTGCAAATATTTTTCCTTTTTTTGTGTGTGTTTTTATTTTGTTGATGTCTTCTACATGGATGTCTTTCCCACGTTTATTTGTCAATGAAATGCTTTTCTCTTGCTTTTTTGTTCAGAAGTCTTTTTCTCAGCTTCAAATGTGCTAAATGTCTACATTTTCTTCTAGGTGTTGTGGTTTGAGTTTCTTCCATGTATTTCTTTTTTCTTTTTTTTTTTTAAGACAGAGTCTTGCTCTGTCACCCAGACAGGAGTGTAGTGATATGATCTGGCTCACTGAAATCTCTGCCTCCTGGGTTCAAGCAATTCTCATGTCTCAGCTTCCCGAGTAGTTGGTATTACAGGTATGCATCAACACACCCAGCTAATTTTTGTATTTTTAGTAGAGTCTGGGTTTCGCCATGCTGGTCCAGCTGGTCTTGAACTCCTGGCCTCAGGTGATCCACCTACCTTGGCCTCCCAAAGCGCTGGAATTACAGGTGTGAGCCATTGCACTCAGCCATAATTCTTAAATTGTTGCAAGATGGTATGTGTGTTATGTGAGGTCAGTAT